ATATATTAAATTTATATTTATCAAATTCTGTTATAGAAAACTATTTATGTGTAATAATTACACATATATTTATATTTAATTGCATTTAATTTATGATCATATGCGAAATTTTAACTATAAAACTGTTTTTATTAATCACCTGAAATTTATTTCCATCGTATAAATAAAAATATATGTTTATGTTTCATGTCCACTTCGACTTGTGTTTTCTTTTCAAATTATAATCCGTTATTTCAGAACTAATAAGAACGTAAATGAATACGATTGGACGTATAATCATGATAATGTGTTTGTGTCAGTATATTATCGCCGCTTATCTACAGCGCGTTTTTACAGCTCGATGTTCAAAACGTATAACAGGTGAATTGATCGGAAAAAAAACCTAGAAATTCTCGTATATTTTGAGGATTTTATGGGCTTGGATTATCTATCCTTCGAATCTATAGAATACGAAATATAATAAAATATAAAACAACTTGGACGATCAAAATTACAATGGCCGAAGTTATTTTTCCCATTTTATACATAGGATATTTCGTTTAACTGGACACGACTGAATACGAGGGATTAAAAAAAATTATCAAAAGAAAAAATTTAACAAAAATTATTTGATTCGGAACGGAGATATTATAATATGCAAATAATTTTTATGCAAATTAAGTAGTGGAGAAGATTTCAAAGTTAATTTCGTTTGTTTATATATAAAATTGTATAATTTTGAATGCATTAATCGATTTAATACTCTATAAAAAAATATTAACTTACTTATTAACGAAAAATCATTGGTTTAAAATTAAATTATAAAACTCGTCACATGAAGAACAAAGAGAGTTATATAATTAAGAAGAATATCGCGTATATATTCGTATTCTATTCATTGTCTTTTATTTTAAATATTAAGTTTTATAAATTTCAAATTAAAGTATTTCTTTAAATGATTTTTCGATATAATTAATACCTTTTTATACAGAATGTTCAAATAAATCGATTAATACGTTCAAAATTATATAATTCCATTAAAAAAAAAAAAATGAAGTTAACCTCTTATTCGATATTCTATTAATAATTAATGATCTTAATCTATTCTGTATACGTGTATATATCTACGTCATAAAAGAATTTTAAAGAAGATTAAAATTTTATTAAATTTATCAGGAAATAGATCTTCATTCATATTGATTATCAGCCCTTAATTGACATTTGTATATCGATATCACAGATATTTATATCATACATTTTTATTTGGAACTTATAATAATTATATAATGTTAAGTTTTAATTGAATGAGTCAATTTAAAAGATTGAATGATGTTTGAAATAGATAAGATAAAGGGAGAAAAAATATACCTTAGCCTCCACTGTGTATATACTGTATATATCTATGTGTAGGTTCAAGAAAACCCAAGGGTTGACTGGAATTGAGAGAGTTGTTATTCGAAAGTCGTGTGAAGATCATCAGAGTGTCGTCGGCAAAGAGTGAAGTGAATCGTTAAAGAATTCTTTGAGAGTGGTTACAGTGTCGTTGCAGTGATTATAATGTTTCGTAAAAGTAAGAAACTATTAGAACACCTAATAAGTATATAATGCATAAGTTTAATTTTTCTGAGAATTGAAATGTTTTTCTTTTTAAAACAACACGATACGATATTTTAAAAAGTATATAATAAGTTTTAAACAGATTAAACAGTAAAGATTGAAGAGAAAAAAAAGAGAGAGAAAAATATTTTTAAAAAATAGAAAAATATACATCACTGAGAGAATAAATAATTATTCAAAGGAGTACATTTAAAATTATACAATTTCACTTGTTTCCATTGATTCAATATTAACGAACAATTTAACGATAGTTTTTAAGTGTATTAAAAAATAATAATAATAATGAGTTCGCTATATCGATAATGATTGACGTATTCGCAACTGGAATAATCGTACGTTATTTTAAAATCTACCTGTTGCCTGCGAGTAGTAAGTAATTTCATTTTAAAATTTAATTAAGTCATTTAATTCTAATCTAGTAATCTAGAAATCTATAAATCTAGAAATTGTTATAGACGCGTTTTATTTCATATTTGAAATAAGTTATATTTATACATTTTATATTTAGAATTTGATTTGTTCAAAATTATTAATTTTTTATTTTATTAGTTTATTATTTATTTAGTAAAAGATCAATAATTTTTAACGCGTAAAAAAAAATAATGAATTTTGTTAAATCTTAAGAAAATTCTCGAATAACAATAGTAAAATAATTTTTTTATATTATTTTTTTTTGTTTTTTTTTTGTTTTTTAAGAAATTATAAATAATAAAAGATTATTATTTCAAGAATATAATAATATATTCGTAAAAAAATATTTTTATTCATGATTTTATTCAATGATTTTAGCATTTTTACAATCGTAATAATTTAATAAAAAGTTCTTAAAGTTAAATAGTTTGTGTTGAGATTATAACTTAATATTTCAGATAAAATTATGAAAAAATAATGTAAGATCAATCTCTAGAGGAATACATAATGAATAAAATAATTTTTATTCAGATTGATTAATCAATTAGTTATTTGATATTGATTAATCAATTAGATTTTTTGAAAAAAAAAATTTTTGAAATAATGAAACTTCCAGATTATAGTTTTTTAAAATTTTTAAAATATTATTTTGTGAAAATTATTAATTTTCAAAGATAAACAATGATCCAATATGCACAAATTAACGCGTCTATTTATCTTCGTATTGCATTTCATCGCATCGCAGACATATTATCATAACACACTTGATATTCATTTCAATGTTTCATTAAATAGGCTCTAATTTCTAATTTATTTTTTTTTAAACTCAAAAACTCAAAAATTTTGGCATCATGTTTCCAAAATACTGCTCTTTTGATTTATATAAAAAAAACAAACAATTGTTACACACCATTTGAGAATTTCCCTTAGATAATGAAGAATTACAAATGTTGTATGATATTTTTTATTTCTATTTTATTTTATTCTCTTTTAAACTCTTTAAAGTCTACGAAATTTAACAAAATAATCCAAAATTTTTTTTATTAAACAATTGGATAAATTATTCCAAAGTAAAAAAATAAATATAAAATAGCGTATAAAATATTTGTTAAATTTATTATTTTTTAAAAACCTGCGTTATGCGAGGTTATTTGATCGTTACAGACTAATCATTTAAGGAATTAATATCACAATTTTGCAAATATAAATTTTTAAAATTGCTGGTTGCAAATTAAAAAGTACGTAAAAAAATTATTATTAAAATTTCATAATAAAATCTAAATCAAAATTGACGATCGCGGCGCATATATTTCAAAGTCTATTTTATTATTTTAGAATCAAATTATAAATCGTATCACATGTTGATAAATATATATATATATAATACTCTTTACCTTAATGTATAAAAAATTGTGGATTTTCTTTTTTATGTCTTCTAAAAGTTGTATAATAAATTCGAGGAGTAGATTTTAAAAATATAATTTTTAATTTTAGAAATTCACTAATTTAAAAGTTATGCGTCTTTAAAATTCAGTGTTTACGTATACTAATGAGATGAGTTGCTGCTTCCAAGATTCTACGATGATAAAATATAAATGCTATATCCTAAATCATTGGTAGAATTACAACTTTTTAATTTCGTAACTGAAAATGTATGCATTCCAAATAAAATATTAATTAAATTTTAATTTATTGAAATCAAATTTGATTTATATTGGATTTACAAAGCTTAAGAATTATTTGTAGAAAAAACATTGGCTACATGTGTGAGCAGTGATCGATCTTTTGAAGCAAAAGAATCAGTAATGACATCACTGGGGGCAAGGACTCAATTCTTTTCAGACCTCGGCATATCCGTCAGGTCATAGTTTCAAGCGTCATAGTATTCGTATATACAGAGTGTCCCAAATTTAAAGTATCAAATATTAATCAATATATGTCTATGAATTTAAATAAGCAAGAAATATTATATAAATATAAAGCAAAAACGTGCAAAACGCTTTCCAAAAAAAACTATAAGCAAAAATATGGAAATTCAAAAGAAACAGCAACAATAATATGATTTTTTCTGTCAAAGTCGATACTATGGCCTCCACGATCATCTGATCTTATTTGATTATTATTTGGAAATATTTAAATAAGAATAAATACATGTGATGAATTAATGCAAAGAATTAGTGATTAATTCAGTGTGATAAAATAAAATACAAATGAACAGTAATAAATTCTATTCTATCTGCTTTTATTGCTATCGATGTTATGTAAGAATAACCATTTTGAAATGAAATTTTATTTAAGTATTTAATATTAAAATATAATATATATAAATGTTGCTCAACTGTTCCTTTTGAATTTCGTATTTTTTGTTTATAATTTTTTAATAAAACATTTATGGATCTATGTTTATATAACATTTTTTTGTTTATTTATATAAACCCATAAAATATATTGACAAAGTTTAACACTTTAAATCTGGAATACTCTATATAATATAACACTTATATAATCCACTATGAACTACATTTTATAATTATCCTTTCTTAATTTAGTTTAGTTACGATTTTAGTTCTTATTTTTATTATCATGTTCTAGTTTTATTAATCCAAATCCCTTTGAGAAGATTTCTTTTTATTTCTAATTCCGAAATCTTAAACACTTTGACCAAACTCCTGATTTCCTCAACATTCCAAAATTTATATTTTTAAAATCTACCCGTTCAATCATAAGACATAAAACAAAAAAAAGACCAACAATTTTTAACCGCTTAAAAACAAAATTTATCCTTTCTCTCTTTTCTCAAACTTGCATAAAAATCCAAACTTTCCAATACAGCCTGTATAATGGACATCCCAACTGATGATATACGCCAAATCACGGTCGTAAATCTAGAAATGAGATCAGTACAATTACGTCTATTATTAAATACCGTGCGTTCAGGCCGGTTTATTCCTGGGTAGCCGTCGTCGAAGCGGATCTCCGCGGAGCGTATTCATTAATTGCCTTTCGCGGCGTGTAATATCAAGCTATACGGTATAACATCTATACGCGTTAACCATCGTCGATACAAGGTGACACACCGCAATCGTCACCCAGGTTTCACCGGTATTCACCGATTGTGGGATACTGCCAACTGGTGGAGTTCGCCGCTGCTCTGACCGCTGTTGCTCATCGGCCAGGCCACCACCACACACAGCAGGATATTTCTAGTCGGTTGCCATGTACGAGTTAGTGCTCGACCGTGTGAGCACCTGTACGTGTCGGTCCATCGTGCTGCCATCGTTTCCTCCCGGGGTCGGTCCAGTCGATTTTCCTTTTTGGTCCGTTAGTGGAATAGCACGAAGCTTAAGTGTGTCGAATGTGAGGCAACCGACAGGATGAGCGAAACGAGGAAGGCAATCCGGAAACGGGAGGAGCAGCAATCGCCCAGGCCTAGACAACAACCGATCAGGCCACCGAGAACGAAGACGCAACAGGCTCGTGACAATAAGGCTATCGATCGGCACGAGAATCGTGGTGCGCCGTGGAACAACGTAAAACCAGTTTAAATAGCTGACCGTGTCAAGTTTAGGTTCCATCGAAAGTTCGATCGTGGATTAGAGAAATAAAAAAAAAAAAAAACGAAAATGTTGTGAAATCGAGAACGAGCCGAGTGTCGTGAAATTTAATTGCGAAACGAAACGAGCTTAAAACCACGGATTTTGGACGGGATATGTATCGGGGCTGAAAAGTTTACTCGATGAATAGGGAATTGGCTTGCTGTCAAAAGCTCGGAGAGACGCAACAAGCGATAAAAGGATGCGTTGATCGGAGTGATGATGGTAGAAACATAAGTAAATTGTTCGAATATAGTTTTGTACTGGAATAAACTGGATTTAAATTAGTTATAAATTCTTTATTATTAGTTCTCTATGATGGCAGATTTCAAAGTGTAGTTATTAATATCAAATATTAGTGGATCATAAGATCGATGTGAAATTGAATTCGTTGGGATTAATATTAAATACGTCATCATATCGTTGAAAATACATACGGTTAGACTGCACATTTATTTATATATTTCTAAATATATAACATAATTTATAAAAATTCTAAAAATAAAACGCGTATTTTTTTTTTTAAACATTTCACGAAACGAGTTATTTTCATATTTTTTACTTGTATTCATAAAAATGAGCATAAACATTTAGAATTTAATAGATGATGAAATTATCTATCTTTAAATAGATACGCGAAACGAGCTTTTGAGAGCAACTTTTTTAGAATTTTGTTTTAATTGAATGTGAAGATTCGGTCATGAAATTGGCACGTTTCCAAAATCTCGTGAATGCAACAGCTTCGTGGCAATGAAAATGTTTATCGGAATGTAGACCTTCGAAGTTCATTGTAACAGCAAACGTTTCAAGTATAAATTTTTTAAGAGTTTAAATCATGGATATAATAGCAGTTTGTTTTACAAAGCTTTTAATAGTCTATTTTCCAATTATTTATAATATTTATTATATAAAATTTCATAGATCTTTTTTTTTTTTTCTTATGATTCGCTTATAATGTTTTTCATGAATGAAAATATTTTACAAAAAAATAATATAAGAATATATGCAGGATAAAAAGGCTAAATGTGCATTTGAAAATTTGTTTTCAGTCAAGAAAGCACCGATGACGGCCCTCGATGAGAACGTGAACCGTGTTCCACGGGTATACACAAACGAAAGAGAAACAGAAAGTGAGTCTTTTTCTTTTTAATTATTTCTTCGGCACATCTTTTCATGGTCATCTCATAATAGGAATACTTCTTTTAACACGTTTTGTTAATAGATCAACGTAAATTAAAATTTTTCGGAATTTTAAACTCAATGTAAAAGGTAATAGCATTTATAGTCCACAACAAAAAGATGACATGCTTCTAAATATTGTTATTTTTTTTAAATATGTGATGAAATCTTCTTTTCCTCGTGTATATACTTCAAGGTTGCTTCTGTTGATGAAATTAATTGGGCAATAAAAATTCTAATCAAATTTTAAAGAAGAGAAGTTATAGATGCGACAAGATGATTACACAATTTCTAAATTCTTTTTCGATAGTTAAAACTAAATCATCATGGATTGCCCTATTGGATATTTAATATTATATGTGTTTATTGTTGTTTTTTATTAAAATTTACTATCAGACTAGAGAAAAAAATCTTTATATATAAAATAATTATAATATTATAATAATTTATAATATAAATATTAAAAATAAATATATTGTTTTTTAAATAATATTGAATTGAATTTTCGAGATATCATCTTTTTGTTGCAGGATATCCAAATTAATTGAAATTCTGAACTTGATTATCAGTAAAAAAAATGTTCATAGAATATTTTTATAGCTTATAAGAAATTCAAGATACATAATTATTTATAAATATATATAGGAAGTGAATGAAAGATATTTTTAAAAAATTGCACTTTAGAGAAATCTGATAATCGAATAATAATTAATATAATGATAAAATAATCATTCAGATAATAAATAATTGAGTAGATCTGATTGATTATATGTGTATTATGTTCTATTCAATTAAATTAAAATTATTCAACACATAATACATAAAATATTTTTTCATCACTTTCCAAATAAATAAATATACAATTTGAATTTTTTGAAATTTATTAAGACACATAGAAAAGCATTTTATTTTTAATTTTTCACTGATTTTAAATATTGCCCAATTTCTTTTTGTGCTTTATTGTAGAATATTTAATTTGAAAAAGAAAAACACTTGCACTGAATTTCTGACATTGACTTTTTTTTTTGTTTTTTTTTTAATATCATTTTAAGTAAATGAAATACTTGAAAAGATTAACCTGCCGATTAACTCCTTATTTCATCAATCTTGATGATTTTGAAATATATTATAAAAAACGCATTTTAAATAAGTTTCTTTTTTTGTATGTAAGATAAAAAATATAAAGATAAAAAGTATATAAAGTATAAAGTATAAAAGTATATAAGATAAGATATAAAGATAAATCAATCAACTTTGATTTTCGTGTTATTCGTAAAAAATTTTTTATACTAATAATTGTTATACTATGAATTCTGTCTATACGTGTGCATATAGCATAATTGCATCTATGACAATATCAATATACGTTAATACGTTACTTATTAACTTATTAATTATTTACAATTATAAACATTTAGTATAAACATATAATATATATAATGTATGAAAATCTATCCTTTTCATTAATTTGAATGAGATCCTTTTTAAAATTTCCTTTTACAAAAAATATTAAATATGATGCTATTATTGTAACTTCACTCACTTAAGTCTTTTATATTTTGCATTTTAAATAGAATTGTTATTGATTATCAATATATTATCATATTACAGCCATTTTATCGATAACGATCTCGATTTTCATAATTCTACTTCCAAATATTCGTAGAATGCTTAAACTCGCTATAAATAATGGTGATATTAATTTAATTATTTTACATTTTGAGTACCATGATGTATTTATATATTAAAAGTTGATAAATGGCGGTTGCATATTGTTGCATACGTTGCTATGGATGTATATGCAATAAGCAGAATTTAATGTAATAAAATCGAATATTATATTACAAATAAATAGTATATATTATAAAAAATTTTGTGAACAACTCGAAAATCAAAATTGATCGTTATATTTATAAAGGAAAAAGTTGCTCAAAATAATGTTGTTTATATTGTATTTCAAGTTTACTAAAATCAAAATAAAAAAGGATCTAATCGGTTTTCAGGATTTTATAATATTATATTTCTAATAAAAATTTGTTGAACTATATTTCATAACCTGATCTCACGAAATGTGTCACTGAAATAAATTAGATTTATTAAAAACTTTCTGAATATTTTCTAAGAACGTATATTATAAGTTGATTATTCGAGAAGAAATAAATATTCTGCATTGAATTAATGCTTTTTACGAACATCGTAAAATACCTAATGTCATGCAAAAAGCAATGTCATTATAAGGCACATGAACATGTAATGTAGGAAATAAGTAATCATAGTGTAGCAATGTACGTGAATATGTATGCACGTGTGTGAATATTCAAGCACAATCACAATCTGCAATTTTTTCTGTCAATATTTATAAATTTGATTTTTTATATTTCTTTCGCTACACAAGTTCTATACGTTGATTTTCGCACAGTCATCATAGAAAATCAAACATTGTTTATAGACTATCTCTCTAATCTTTCTAATTTTATTTCTAATTATTAAATAAAAACATTTCGTGAAGATTGATCAAATTTTCATTATATTATAATGCGTATACGTATACTGTGATTTTTTTTTCTTTTCTTTTTCACATGTTCATATGTTCATATTAATTCATAACTAAAAATAGTATAAAAAAAAAAAAATAAATTTTTACTTACTCAAATATTTCTATTATTGAAACAAAATATTCGTTTATTTCAGAGAATATATTGTTCTCTTCTTTCTTGACAATGACTTTATTTGTTCTTTTAATTTTGCATTGTCCATATCCATATCGAGTTGCAATTATATTACATATTTTAAACACAGAAAATAATTAATAATATACATAAAAAGTTCTATGATTTCAAAAGATATTAGACACTAATTTAGATATAATAACACTAATTTTCTATTCTAAATGGTAATATAAATAATATCCGAAGTTTTCCCTTGTGAATATGTAATATTGAATTTCAAGAAAAAAAAAAACTAATGACAATATGACACATTTTTAATATTAACAACAAATACAGTAAATTAACTTTGTACATGTAACAATATCATTTATCAATCAACATAGTATTTTTAAAATAAAATTTAGAAAAATGTTACATTTAAATTATTTAAGAATATTCAAGGTAATAACCATAAATAAAAGTGATTTTCAAGTGTGAAACATAAATAATGTGTTCATAAATAAATTGAGTTTTAGATTTTCACTAAGACAATTACATTAATCAACGTCTTGTTTTCAAGATTTTTTCTTTTCAAATGTATCATTTGTCGATGCTTAATTAAATTCTCATATTTAATTTTTCTCACCAAACCAAGTTCCAGATGAGACATCTCTGTATTCACGAGTTTAATAATGATTCGTAAATACGAAATTGGCATGGCCACTATCTGCCACTAGCGATTAACATTGACGACCATAAAGAACTAACATTTAAAGTGAAAAATGGAAGAAATATCAAAAAAAAAAAACTAGAAGTAAAATGTAAATATAATCGATTTTTTTTGTTTTAACATTTGTTCGCAGTATGTACATTTCCGTGCATAAATCATCGAATACTTAAATAAATTAAAATATGGACTATTTACAATGTAAAATAATCTATTATAAATTATAAATATATTTATTATATAAATAAAATTAATATGCATTGCACAGAATAATTCATTAGATATTATCATTTCATTTTATCATTTTATTATCCTTAACAAAGAATATTTTAGAATATAAAATTATTTCAGGAAAAATACATTATGATGATGGACATGTTATTGATGATTTTTTAAATGGGATCTATATCTTTCATCATATCAACTGATACAATTTGATATTTTTTGCAGAAAATATTATAAGAAATATTAATCTATGTTCAAAAATCATTAGTTCAGTTATCATATTGAAAGACAAATATATACTCAAAATAATATTCTGCTGTTCATATTTTTCTTGTTTTTAAAACGGTATTTATTTACGTTTAATAAACTTCAAATTATACTATGTTTTAAATGAATGATTTTTTGACATAAATATTTTTTTATAAAGAATATCAAATTGTATCACTGCTGTAAAAGATATATGATCTTATTTAAAAAAAGAAATATTAATGATTCATATGTTTTTTATAATGTTCTTTATGATATCCACTTATATAAGAAAAAACGAACATCAAATTATGCAACCTTGAAATTATTCAACTTTTTCTGAAATAAATTTTTTGCCATCAATAATAACAATAATATAAAACGAGATAGTAATATTTGAATAATAATGAACCATCTTATATACATACATAATAAACATAAAATTTATATACATAAAAATTAAAAATATATCATGCAAATTACATTAAAAATCTTATTAAAAAATTATATAATTAATTTTATATATTATAATATATAAAATTTTTTAATCAACTTAAGATCGAATGATTGTGAGTGTGCCATAATTTTTACAAATTTTCAAAATATGTTTAAAATTGTTATCTTGCATAAATATAAAGTTTTGTTCTATTAATCTTCTTCTATATAATTGCAAAGAATGTTCAGATATATATTAATAATATTTCTTAAATTTTTATTAAATTATCAGAACATTTGTATCGAAACATTTCTATATTATTACAGATTGATTTCCATATTTTACAATTGGAATAATAAAATCGATTATCAATTTATCATTTATATATTTTCTTTACATAAATTTCGACTCGTCCATGATATTTTTTCCAATCTTCAGCATTTCAATTTTTATATTTTTACTCATTTTAAATGGTTTTGGAACTATAATAAAAATAAAAATATAATAATTGAATTAAGATAAAGTCATTTCAGAAAAATATATCTGTGTTTTAATAAATTTCTTTAAAATAAAATGAATATCCGATAGCTTATGGATAAGAATATAATATAATCGTTCAGAAAAATAATTAAAGATATAATAAACTTGATTTTAGATTTGCGAAAATCTGTAAATGCAGAATCTGTAAAATTTTGAAATTTTTAAAATTCGAAATCCAGAATATTTATTTTTATTTTTTCTTTTATTCCTGAAAAATGAAAAATTATCTATTTACTATTTCTTCAAAAGTTAAAATTTTCATAAATTTTTATTTTGGAAATTCTTCAAACTTCAAAGCTTTAATTAACTAACAATAACAATAGTTTATATGCAGAAAATTAAAATTTTATTGTTTATATTTTTTTTATTGTGATAGATTACAATTATAGATACTAATTATATGATAAATCTATAAAATCTACAAAATTTATTAATTAGATAAAAAATGCATATTGTCACATTTTTGTATGATATCTATAAAAATTATTATTTAACTAGGTTTCGAATGTTCTCTTTTTATTTAAAATTTTTTCGAAGAACTTACGTCATATGAAATTAAAATACATCAACTCGTGAAATCTACCTTTTAATCTCTACTTTTTAATATTTATACGTTATTGAAACTTTATTTATAATAATTTATAAATAATATTTTATTTTTCAGAAGGATTTATTTTTGAATAGTTTATATGTTAATTAATATATTTTCCAGTTAAAAAAGAAATAATGATAAAATGAACAGAAACGAAAAAAACCGGATAAAATAATGAAACGATAAAAGAAATTAATTTATAGTTTATAATGGAATAAATTATTTATTCAAGGATAATGCTTGAATTAAGATTAAAATCATTGATTTGTTTTCTTTCATCATTTTATTCATAACATTTTTTATTATAATTATAATTGTGCATCTCTTTTATAATAAAATCCACTTATACATTTTAAGATTATACAAAAATGATTAATTCTCGATCAAATTTAAATTAAAGAATTAATCTATAACATAATTCTACAATTAAATTTTATATGAATTATTAACTTAAAAAAAAAAATCAGCATACGTAAATCCTCGTTTCATTATATCTTATTATGCAAACATATTAAAAATATTTCTATTCTTAAAAATAATCGCAAAATTATAACTTAAAAATTAAAAATAATAAAAAAACAGAATTATGAATTAACTTATCTTCATGAATAAAAAAATAAATGAATTTAATCATATTAAAATCTTCAAAATAAAATAAGTTAATGTCTAATCGAAAAAGAAAAAAAATTAATTTTAAATCGAAACGTGTCTAAAAGAAAGAAATTTCAATTTTTTATTCGAAAGTTGTGTTCAAAAAATATACAACCATGAAGATATAGATCGATCCAATGTTAAGTTAGTCTATTTTTGAATAACAGGTTTGTGGTCAAGATGCCAGACTAGTATTCACGTAGTCGTTTTATGCGAATATAAATGCGTATATATCTCATCAATTATAAAAACAGGAAATCGAGAAATCGAGTCGTGAGAAATTCACTTCGAGTTCTATGAGCGCATATGAAAACTATATTGAAAAACGAAAGTATGCGATATTCTTGAAATCTAGATATCGTGCATTTCATGCGTTATAATAATATTTAGCAATGGCATTTCAAGTATACGTATAATAAATTATGATTTTTAAAGAAAATTTTTTTTCATGTGTAGGAATAATGCATGAAATAATTTACTTTTTATATTTTATTGGATAAATATATAGAATAACAATTTTTATTTTATATTCATTTTCGATGATCTTAAAATTTATTATCAAATATATCATGATTATAAAATTGATTTAGTTTCAATTCATTTACTTCAAAATACTCGTTAAAATATATTTATCATTATATATATTCAATGCTAAATTTTTCTTAAGATTTTCTTTTATTTAAGAACGAATATTTATATTATTATGATTATGTGTTCAAAATATATGAATATTATATATTGTGTAAAAAAATTATATACACGAATTAAGCTATTTTTCAAACTATTTTTTTCAAGATTAACTTCAATAATATTATCAATTCAATATCAACGATTTCATAAGAAACGTAAATAAAAGATATCTAACATTTAATCACAAAATGTTATGGAAAATTTATATAGTTTTAAAATTGTATTCTACTAAAAGCTTCGCAATTTAATTTAAACATTCGTTAATTTAAGCGATTATTCAAAAATAAAGTTTAATCAAATTAATTATTAGATATATAAAAATATTTTATCAAGGATTAAAAAATTACATATTATAAATTTACATATCATATCTTAGTTTGAAGGAAATTGATATAATGAAGATGTGACAAAATTGAAATTGATTTTTAAATTTATTTATTTATATTAATACTATATTTCGTAGTTAAATAGATTATAAATAGTATGCTATTAACAAAATATTAGAAGTATTCCTATGAATCATGATTTTTAGACAATATTTTTGATCTCCGTAAAAAAAATATGATAGAATATAATAGAAAAATAATTTTAACTTTGAAAAATTCATTTTTGCAGCATTTTCGTTACATTAAATCAATTTCCATCCAATCAAGGACTTTAAAATTTATTTGTAGCACTTTAATAATTTTTTAATATTCTGTATATAATTATTTGATCACGATTATTATTTTTATTATTTACATTTATTATTATCTTCGTGAATTTTTAAAATAAATTCTTCGGGCATAAGTTTTATATCTGCAAGTTGAATCGAATTACATGGCATCAGCATGTTATTCGTATGCAATGATAGTTAAAGCTATTTGTTTCCTCGTTTCTCACGTTCATGTGTCTGAATGATGTCAGTTAAGTCAAGGCCTGCAAACGTCACGTTTCCACTCTTATTACCGTTTGCAGGTAAGATAAAAATTTTTGATCATTCATGATTTATAAATTATTTTTTAATTTTATTCTCGATCTTCATTATATCTTTTAAAGATATCTCAACAAATAATTTTTTCACAAAGATAAGATATTGAAAAATATTTATAAATTACTTTTTAAAATTAATTCGAGAAAAATTTCATCAAAAATTATGAAAAATAAAAATATAGATCAGCTGAAATCTTAGTACAAATAATACGTGAGATATCTAACTTATATCTTTTCATTTGACACTTCTATAGTAATAAATTTATTAATTTTTTAATAATTTATAATAATCAGAAAATATATATTTTCAAACATTTAATAATAAATTAATATATGAGATTAATATATAGAATTATATATAATATAGAAATAATAATATATTTTCTTTTTATACGCGATAAAATATATATATATATATGTTAAAATAAATAAAATAATAAAATTAAAATATCAAATTATGTATATAGAAAAATATTTTTAAATTTAAAATTATATTTTATTCCATCAAATAATTCTGTTAGCAGTGTTTAACAGTAATTATTATTTGTTATTTTAAAAATGATAATGCAATGAATATGTTTTTTTCAATTGTGGATCTTCACTAGATCAATCGGGTTGGCAAGAAAGAATAGAACGTCTCTCGATGAATAGTCAGGATAATAATACCTCGGACTTAGGACACCCTGTACAAATCGTGCTTGCTCATCCAGATCACAGTTTTGAATTAAACGAAGAAGCTTTATCAAAAATTCTCCTTGAAGATGATATTAAAGATAGGAGTGTAGTTGTTGTGTCGGTAGCGGGTGCTTTCAGAAAAGGCAAAAGCTTCCTGCTTGATTTTTTCTTGCGATATATGAACAGTAAGGTATGTTATTACACATAAAAATTAGTAACAAAATAGTATCAATTGCGTCTCTAAGAAAAGTCAAATTGATCAATTTCATATTCTGAAAAATTTTTAATTTTAAAATTAAAATGTACAACAATATAATTTTTCAAAAAAATTATTATAATGAATGAAATTGTTCAATTTGATTTTTGCATGATTGTTTATATTTAGTAATTTAAAAAAATATTTTTATATATAAACTAAATCAAAATTATCTTTATTTTTTTCACGCTCACGTGGAACATTGCTTATATATCAATATTGATTGTTAACATGGATGATACAGTATAATAACAACAATCAAACGGACTCCTGGTTGGGTAAAGAAGATGAACCATTACGTGGATTTTCGTGGAAAGGAGGATCTGAAAGAGACACGACAGGCATATTAATGTGGTCAAAAGTTTTCCGTGGTACTTTACCAGACGGTGAAAATGTTGCTGTGATTTTAATGGATACACAAGGTGCTTTCGATAGTCAGTCCACCGTGAAGGATTGTGCGACTGTGTTTGCTCTAAGTACAATGTTGTCATCTTTACAAATTTATAATCTATCACAAAATATCCAAGAGGATGATCTTCAGCACTTGCAACTTTTTACGGAATATGGTAGGCTGGCGTTACAAAACTCTGGGCGCAAACCATTCCAAAAGTTACAGTTCTTAGTAAGAGATTGGAGTTATCCTTATGAAGCGAAATATGGTGCAGAAGGTGGAAAAGAGATATTGAACAGAAGATTAGAAATTTCTGATAAACAACATCCAGAATTGCAAAGTCTAAGAAAACACATTAAATCGTGTTTCTCGGATATATCTTGTTTTCTCATGCCACATCCAGGTTTAAATATTGCCACTAATCCTCATTTTGATGGTAGATTAGCAGAAATTCAACCAGAATTTAAGGAACAACTCAAGATATTAATACCGATGTTGTTAGCTCCGGAAAATTTAGTTACAAAGAAAATTGATGGACAAATTGTAAAAGCGAGGGATTTGTTGGAATATTTCAAAAGCTATATGAAAATTTACAAAGGAAATGAGCTTCCTGAACCAAAAAGTATGTTAGTGGTAAGTTTTCATGCAATATTTATATGCATTATTTATAAATTTTTACATATAATATGTTAGATTAATCTAATCATAAATGATTCATTTATATATTTTGAAGTAAACCTTAAGATATTTCTTTTATCAAAAAGTTTACTTTCTCTATTCTGTGATCACATCCTCTAATAAATAATGAAACAATATATATAATATATATAATATGCATATACATTTTTTGCCATTTTAAAAATTCAAAACATTTCAAATATAATTATTTCTTAGATAGATAATCCTTTTATCTTTGATAAATTTCACGAATTGCGTTAAATCAACTATTGACAAATATACAAAGTTATTTTATATGTGTATTAAACAAAACTTCATGTATTGATTTTTTATTGTTCTTATGATAAATTTTATATGCATATATAAAGTTCATTCCAAATACAATAACTTTTTATATCCATATTTATTGTACAGTTGTATATTACTAATAATAAGTTGACCAATATTTATTAAATATTTTAATTTTTATTTTACAACATACTGTTTCTATATACCATTTCTAATGTTAGAAAAAAGTTAGATCAAATTCAATGACAATTATTATTAAGTTCTGGAATATCTACCAGGTATCATTCCTAATATAATAATCTTTTCACTAAAAAATATTCTTTCACAAGTAGTATAATATACAATCATTTTTAACCACTTACCATTCTTATTTTCTAAACAAACATTTGATAATTATAAGATATAAGATCTAGTCAATTATATCAATTATATGAAATAATTCTTTTAAAGATATTTAAATATCTTTATTTATATTTAATTTTAATAAAATTTATATTTTTTGCAAAATATCAACTTGATATCAACAATTTAAAAGTTTTGACAATAACATAGATATACTTAATATATATTTATAATATAATTCTATTTTATTTTTAGGCAACAGCAGAAGCAAATAATTTAGCTGCAGTTACAGAAGCTAGAGAATTTTATATGCGATTAATGGAAGATATTTGTGGAACAAAAAAACCATATTTAACAACACAACGTTTAGAGGATGAGCATGCACGTTGTAGGGATAAAGCTATATACAAATTTCAGAATAAAAGAAAAATGGGAGGAGAATCATTTAGTCAAACTTATACAAAAAAATTATGTCAGGTGAGAGATTGTTGGAATTATACTTATTTATATTTACTATATATTATTATAATCATTAATGCATTACTTTTATTACAGGATATGGATAAAGCTTTTGTTCACTTTAAAGCACAAAATGAAAGTAAAAATGTTTTTAAATCGACGCGAACTGCAGGAGTATATTGCGCAATTGTTGCCATTATGTACTTCTTATCCTCTATATTTGGTTTTACTGGATTATATCTACTAGCAAATATTTGTAACTTCATCATGTGCATCTGTATATTAACCTTAATGTTATTGGCATATATTAGGTATATATAGAGATATTTTAAAAAGATATTTAATAACTCTTTCCAATTTTTCACTCAATTATAATTATTTTTTATTAATTTAGATACAGTGGTAATTATGACACAATTGGAATAGCAATAGATGAAGTGGCTAATGTTTTATGGAATAATGTAAGTAGTGTACATTTAATTATTTATATATCAACCTATGTATTTAAATTCCTTCAGTAAGCTTTAATATAATATAATAAGTAACAGCTATCCGTAAAATCTTTTTAGCTATAAAATTAATAATCATTACTTAATTTATTTATTAATAAAGCTAATTCCATGCATTAAAATGATGAGAAGTAATTTATATATTTGTAATTAGATAATTTCATTTAGTACCTAATTTTTTGATTTAATGTACATATTGATCGTTCATGTTACACAAATAGAAATTTATATAAAGCTTTATTTACATTTTTATTATTTAAGATATGTATAAAAAGTTGTGTTTACTTTTAACAAAAATATCATTTAAAATATTATGCACTAAAAAAATATTATGCACTAAAAAATTCTTTTTTGTAGTCCAAAATATTAACTAGGTGATGTAAATAATTGCTCCTCATCATTTCACCATATTTCCTGATTCATACCTTCCACATATGATTTCTACAGGTTCGAGATATGGGGGTACTATTCACTGTACTTGCACTTGCTGTGGCTGCTGCTTCATCATGGTTTATAATTTTATATGATTTTATTTTTCCAGCACCTCCTTTACCTTTTTTTTCCTCTATTCGTTTTAGTTTTGAAGATATACCTTATTTTTGGGAATATTTACATTTTATCACAAATATTATTTTTTATGCTATTTCTAAATCTTTTCACAGTTGCTTTTACTTTTTACATTATTACTTTAATATTTTTTTAAAATATTTTGATTATCTAACAAATATCACTTTAGATAATATTTCTAAGTTATATGATTCTTTTTTAAACTATTGTTCTCCTTTTTTTATAGAATATTTATATAGTCTAATAAAAATTATTTTAGATAATATTTTCAAATTATATAATTCTTACTTAAACTATTATACTATTTTTTCAGAATATTTACAATATGTCACAAATATTATTTTTAACAATATTTCTAAATTATATGGTTTTTGTTTAGATTACTACTTTCCCTTTTTTTTAGAATATTTTCATTATTTAAAAAATATTGTCTTTGATAATATTTATAAATTAGATAAATATTGTTTAACTAATTATTTTTCCTTTTTTTTGAATATATTCAATACTTAATAAATATTTTTTTGGTAATATTTTTAAACTATATAATTTCTGTTTACATTACTATTTTCCTCTTTTTTCAGAATATTTAAATTATTTAATAGACATTATAATTGACAATATATATAAATTATATAATTCTTATTTAAATTATTACTCCACTTAATATATTTTCATCTAATATATCTAACAAATAATTGTTTTTAATAATATCTATAAATTAGATAATTCTTATTTATATAACTATTTTTCTTTTTTTATATTTACAATACCTAAAAGACATTATGTTTAACACTTCTAAATTATTTTAATTATTTTCCTATTTTTTTAAATATTTATAGTAGCTTATAATTTTTAATAATATTTTTAAATTATATGATTCCACTTTAAACTATTATTCCCTCCTTTTTTCAGAATATTTACATTACCTAACAAACTCTACTTATAAATAATAAAATATTTAAATTATATAATTATTGTAAATCATTTTGATTGTAGTTGAACTGTTTTGAAAATATTTGCATATTATTTCTTATATATATGTATTTATATATGTATTTATCCATTACTTTTACATTAATATTACATTTTTTCTTATATAAATATTGCCTTTAATATTATGTTACTATTTTTTTTCCTCCTTAATGTAAGCTGAATACTAACAGGAGCAAATGTACAAAAGGTATGGGGTTTGCTTATAATTAACATAAAAGTAAAAATAATTTTCATTTCATATATTTCAAAAAACAAAAGATAGCTGTTCTTTACAATTTTTATAAAAGCTATACCTTTATATTATACTTAAAATTAAATATTAATTTTTACCTGAAAATATTCAATTTCATAGTTATAAGTTGAAATGTGTGAATTTTATGAATATATGTAATATTTTTATATCAAATTTAAATTAATTTAAATTATATACATAATATATTTAATTATAAATTATAAATTTTTATTAATTAATTATAATTTTTTTGTATCTGTTCAGTTAATTAAGCCAGTCTATCAACAAGTTGTGGAGAAGTCAGTGTCCGTAGCAGTGGCTCAAGCTGCTGAAATGGCTACAAATACAACAATGAATGCCACTGTCACTGCCAATGGCAAGCCTAAACTAACATGATGTTCATTCCCTTTGTGTCCCAATTTCTTAAGTGCATTAGAAATATACACCAATGTATTAAAACCAGTAAGTGACATAACAAAATTTAATTGTTTTTACCATGTAATATGAGGCCATAAATAGCTATTTCTTTGTTAAGTCACAAGGAGGGACTGTGCGTTGAACATATTTATTTAAAATGACTGTGAATGTATATACAATATATTTTGATTATAATTCCCTCTAGATTGTTGAAAAACATCACTATTGTCTATGATTGATATTACATTGTTAAAAAAATAAAATTCCACAATTACTGGTAAAAAATATTGTTTGGATAGAAGCTATTGTTTTGGGGTTGTTAATGTTTATGATCAATTTTAATTTTTTTTATATTACAATATATAAATATATATACATATGTATACCATAAAAAAACAAAGTGTAAACAAGTTTTTAAAAACAGTATACTTCTACATTTTTTGATAATATTAAATTCACATTTAGCTCTTTAGTTAGGAAAATATATTTAAGCGCATTTCAAGATCACAAAAAAAAAATATATTAAAATATTTTTGAAAAGGAATTTTAATAATACACACTTTGTATATTTATGCATTATTCTATGTATATGAACTAACATACTTAAATTATATCCGTGCCAGATTTATTCTACATCAGTTACTATTGTATTGATTAATTTTTTTAATAAACTGAAGTGTAAATACTATTTAGTGTTCATTACACTTTATAAATTTTAAATAAAATTCATAATATTTAATTATAATAATATATTAAATGTATACATATGCCATGTAGTTTATATTTTTAATAGATTTAACATTAAACAATTCAATTTTGACATTTTGCGGATTATATGTTAAATTATATGTTAAACAAATTTTTAAAGAATTGTAAATATAATAACTAGAGTGCTATTTCTTTCTTAAATTAGAAACTGTTCATAAGATTTATTATGTGATTTATTTCTATATTAATTTAATGCATGTTTTAATATATAGAAATAATTTATGTATTCTTTTAAAACAAAAAATGAAAAGATTATTGAAATTTCATATTTAAATATTAATATGAGAAAAACATACTTTTATTGATGGTGATGGTTTAAATAAAAAGTTATATCAATTATTTGTTGATTTATTAGTGATCATTTTTATTTTGACAGGAAAATGATAATTTTATAAATTTTATAAATATATGTACTATTATTTGTATATTAAGTATATATAACACAATTTATTGTTAAAACATTAAAATATCTACTTATAACACTCTATTTACATTATAAATCCCATTATTATTTTATTATTATATTTAAAAATAATATTTACATAATTTCAATTTTAATTTATCAAAATAATTATAAATTCAATAATGTTTTATTTAATTATATTTTAAAATGAAAATATATTATAATAAAAGTGCCAGTACATTCATTTAAAATTAGTTACATTAAAAATGTATTTTACATTTTATTACAAAATAGAAAATTTATTTTAATTACCTCGTATTTTAATGTATTTAATCAATTTAATTCTAGAATTATAACTATAATTGTATAATATAATTTATTTTTTTGCATCATGTATTTTTTAATATTATATATAATATGAAGATATTCTATTAGGTTAAATAAAAATATTGAATTATAAACTATAAAATAAAAAATATATAAAAATAATTTTCTTTTAATTTTATTTTTATTCAGTATTTAATATATTTTTTAATATGTTTTTAATATATTTTAATATATGTTTTATAAATATAACATAAAATAGTATTAATAATAAAATCTGTTTTCAAAAGTTAATTGTTTAACAATATGACATATATAGATATCAATACCCTTAAACATAATTCAGTAATAAAATTATTTAATAATAATGCAAAAACATATTGGATACAAAGTTACATATTGTAGCAAATTTTTTTTTTGTTGTAATCTTAATAGATTATTCATAATGTAAATTATTGTAGATAAAAATAAACATTTATTTTTTTATCCATAAAATAACTATTTTTTTGGTTTTCTTGTAAATAAATTTAATAATATCATTTTAAGTTTTAAACATTCTCTTCACCATATTTTCAAATTTTTGATTTGCCTCTTGCAGTTTTGTATTATATAATAAATATTGTTCTTTTATTGTTTGATTATGTGGTTCTAAATTAATAGCATTTTTTAAATCAGGAACAGCTCTTTCAAGATCTTTTAATCTTCCATGTGCAACCCCTCTTCTATATAATGCTTTAACATTATTGCTTTCTTTAGACAAGACTTTACTACATAAAGATATTGTATATTCATAATTCTTACGATTTAATTGACATCCAGCCATATTATTATATAATACAAGTCTCAAATTATTAATGTTATTTTCTAATTCTTTATCTAATTCTAAATCTCGTATTGGTTCTAATGTTATAAGAATTTTGCAAGCTCTACTAAATCTATAAAATGCATCCACCCATCTTTGTTCCTTAAATAAATATACACCAGTTTCTTTATATTTTAAGGCTATATTATATTTTTCTTCTGGTGTCCATTCCCAAATTGATTTATATGGTTGAATTTCAGTTAATGTTACTTCAAATATAACATGTAAATTAATGTCTTCAAGCAATATATTTAATGTAATTAAACTTTTTTCTGAAATCATCATCATTTGAAGTGCTCGTTCAATTTGACGATCTATTTCACAATTTCCTTCACCTATAATTAACCTCTTTTTGTTTTTACCATTTAAAATTTCTGAATTAAATTTTTTGCTCAAATCTTCTATAGATGCATTGATAGCATCTATTTTTTCAATAATAATTTCGCAACTAGCGCATTCAGTTGCTTTTTTACAAAAAATGCCATATTTTATTATTTCTTTTTTCACAATTTCATCTGCTGATTTCCACGTTTCAAGTAACATTTTTTTAAAACACTTTATCTTACCTGCAAACATAAAAATAGATAAATTAAATCATATCAGTCATCAGTCATGATACATAATACAAGTATGATAATATAATATAATATTGTAATATGTGTTAATAATATATATAAATATATATTTTTTTTTATATATAAATAATATCATTCATCACAAAAATAATTTTAGACGCACATCACTTTGAAACCAATTAACCTTTGAAATATCAATTGTATGTATGAAGTTTTAAAATCTAGATGTTATCAAAGCGCAGACGCACTTTACGTTAGTATTAATTTTGAAAAAAATAAATTAAGAAAATGAAAAAGTTTTTGTTAATGATTGAAAGTAAATATTAAATTATTAAAATATTTGTATGAATAATGTTTTTGTATGTTTGTGTATGAATAATGTTTTAATACTTTATAAAATATATTAATTTAATAAAAATATAAAATGTTATCTTTATATATAAAAAATAAAATTACAATAAAAAGACAATTGTAATTTTTGTAAATATAGAAAAAATATAAAAATTTAAAAATATACAAATTTATATAAATGTGTAATTTTTACTAGAAGTTATGGCATAAAATATTGAAATTCAGTTAAAATATATCATTGTATAGTAGTAAGTATTTACAAATATTTAGATTTAAATGCATAATTATTAATTACTTACTAAATAAAAGTGAGAATTGAATTTTAGTTTTAAGGACATAAAAATAATTTTTTTATAAATTAATAGAATTTAACAAGTAAATTCTAAAAATCACGATTATAATGTTAGGAATAAAAAGAATCGAAAGTTATATAGTATAAAAATACTTTATTTTACAGGTTACATTGGTCGCCATATTGGTTTTTTTCACTACCTGAGTTTATAGAAACAATAGATATTAAGTATGATGCTTACATTGTTATCATATATAACTTTGATTATTGTAATTTTATTGTAATGTTTTAAAAATTTTTTCATGGTTTATTTTTGTAGATTAATGGAATGCTCAATTCGCTATGGATAAATACATCCCAAAATATTCGCAAACATTGGTTTAACAATAATATGCATATGGTGCCATTAGAAGAGGAAATAGAAACAGATTTTTTATAAAACTACTGAACAAAAAAAATGAATGATATCACAGAGAATATGACGGTTAACGTAATCTGTAAAATAAAATATTTTTTTACACACGCATAACTTTTGATTTCATGTATACCTAATATTTTTTCTATAAATTCGATTTTAAAAATAAATAATAAAATGATAATATAATAACATAGATATTCTGTAAAAAAAAATATCAAAGATTTTTTATCTGAAAATGGAGAGATATTTTATGCATCTTCGTATGATAAATTTAAATTTGATCGTAAAAATTATTTATTGTATTAAATTTAAATAAATAGATTAAAAAAATATATTAATTTTTGCTACATTTATAAAAATATTTTAAAGAAAGTAAATTTTTTCAGTATTTTAATTATGTTATATAATATTTTTCTCCTATAAAATCATATTTACTTTATTATCATAGATGATTTTCTTTTGCCGAAATATCGTTTTGAATTATTATTCAATTTTTAACTTATTGATACCAAAAAAGGAATTACGAAAATTCAAATTTCTTAAAATTTTCTTAAAATAGAGCTAATAAAATGAAAATGTATACTTATGCTTCTTTAAATATCAAAGCTTTTTTATTATATATTAAAAATATTATAAACTTTTGTTTGATTATTAATAAGAAATGAACTTTTAACATTTTCAAGATAAGAAATATAAAAGGTCACTGAATAAATTAAGGTTTAACAAAAGAATTAAAAGAATATAATTTTGAACTTAAATTGAAATTAGTTACTTTACTTATTCTTACTAATAATATAAATAATAAATTCTGGAATTTAATTTATCTGATTATCTAATTGTGTAATAAAATTGATTGAGTTGAATATTGTTTTCAACTTAAGAATAAATAATGTTCAAAAATCTAATAGAAAAATAAAAATTGAGAGTAAAAAGAGTGTTGCTCATATGTATAAAATCGAAAAAATAACAGATACCATCGATACACCGATGGTACTAAAGTTTACGAATTGCACGTAATCGAATGATCATCAAACAAATATTTAGATGTAAAAATGGAAATTGTGGTGTAGAATAAATAAATACAGATAAAAAAAATTTGCGAAAAGAATGACGAAGACTATGATATTTGAATACATGAAATTGAATTATCGAATGTCTTCTATACATTGAAGAATGTGACGTTAATCAGATATCAAAAAATATATAAGCTTTTAACAAATTATAAATAATAATAATAATTATATATTTATTTTAAAAATATATATATTTGATACATAAAAAAATTATGAATTTTTATAAAATAATGGCATGATGAAATTTCATGACATTTATATAGATTATTTAAAGCACAATAATAAAGTAATGATAATATTTAAATTTTGCAATTATGAAATATTCTATTTTATAAAATGACTAGTATAAGTAATGTGTACAAATTCAAAATACATAAAACATATTTTAAATATTACATAAATTTTTTATTAATATTAATTTACAAAAACTAAATGATTGTTACATTGTTATTTTTATTCCTAATTATGCTAATCGAATGAAACATATATACATTACTGATATTTAACAGAAAATTGTAATAATATCATTATTAATGTAAATAATACATAAATATATTATATTACAATATTATAATACATAAATATATTAATTATTATCTTAATAAACACATATATTATCGACCAATAGGCCCTTCTAAATAATATCTTAAATTCCGTCGAAATTCTAATATTTCTTCTTCGCTATAATTTTCTTCTTGGACTCTTGGTGTGGGATACTGATGTTGAACCATAAGATTATCAACATGTCGACGGAACCTTACTCTATTAACTGGTGCATTATTTCTGGGATTTCTACGATAGTATGGAACTGCATTATGTACATTGTGTGCATTATGTGCATTATGTGCATTATGTGCATTATGTGCATCTGCTGGATTTTCTCTATTCCGTATCGCTTCATTTTCGCAAACGGGAAGCATCACCATTTTTGACGTTTCTATTTAACTTGTTATCTAGAATAAATACAAAGCAAAAATAAGAATATTTATGAATTATTAATAATAAAATAAATTATTAATAAAGAAAATATAAGAAGATATAAGAAAATATTTCAATTTAAATATACGTGATTCATTATTATTATTTATGATAAAATAAAATGTAATTCCATATAATTTATTAAAAATTAAACTGTTATTATATATATATATTAAATATATATATACATTATTAATAATGTACTTACCGTTTTAATAGCAAAAACGTCTTGTATAAAGACGTAAACTGGAATGCGATGATATCAAATTGTATCACAAATACAAAAATCTGATTTGTATTTGCACCGAAAATGCCAAATAATTTCCACTTGTTCACTTCAAAATTAACTATAAAAAAAATTAAAATAAACAAATTTTAATTTAAATATAATACAAGATTTATTATTATTAATTTTATTATAATAATTTTATTATAATATTATAATAATATTTTATTATAATAAAATAGAATAAAATAATTCTGAATGTAATTTTATGAACTGAATTATTATTAATGCACTCACTATTTTAAAAATTTTTGCAAAAATTAAAACTTCGTTTTCTTTTCTATAAAAGTGTAGATTGCAACGGAACGATATCACAACTAACTCTCTGATTCGTGTTTGCACTGAAAATGCTAAATAATTTCAACTAGTTCGCTTTTATAGGTACACGATCTACCTGAAATAACGGCTTTTAAGAATTATCGCACCCTTTTGTCATTTTGTTTAACTACCTAAGTTTCTTTATCTCTCTCTTCTCATTAATTTCTTTCTTTCTTCTTCATTTTCATTCACAAAATTTCTACAAAATTCTATATAGATACCATGGATATAGAAATTAATTCATATAGTATCATATAAATAATAATAATTAAAATTGAAAATATTATTAATTATTATTAATTATTAATTTTATTAATTATCGAGTAAAAAGCGAATATCATTTATCTTTATCATGATTTTGAATAAATAATTTAAATAATATTTTAATTCATTATTTTATTTTTCTTAGTTTATTAAAATAAACTAGATTAAAATATCTAATAAACATTAGATTAAAATAATCAACAGAAACATAAATATATTATATAGTGTATATGTTAATAAAAGTTCATCAACGTAATAATTACTTTACCATTATTTTTATTTGAATATTATCTAAATGTTGAACCAAGCAATAATATAATTTATATAAATACGTACATTACATTTTATACATATTTTATACGTCAAATGATGTATCAATCATTGTTTTATTATTTATTATTATATTATCACTACTATTTTGTAATTTTAAAAAAAATATAAGAATACAAATTCATTAAATGCATAGATTCAAATATTTTCAAACATCAAATGCTATTCTTGTTTGTATAATGGATTATTTTCTAAAATATAAAAATATATAATCATAACATAATATCTTTATAAATATAATTTAAAAACTAAAAAAATAGAATTTTATTAGCATTTCAAAAATTATATTATTTTATTATAATATTTTTATTTAAAAAAATAATTTAATTCTATATCTATATATTATTTCATGATTAATTAAAAAAATTTGGAAAAATTCTATTTTAAATGGAAAGTATGTTTCTTCGATATTTAGAAGATTATAGTAATAAACAGTTGTAAAATTCGGATAAAAGATAGCTGCATTTTTAAATTTAAAAAAAAAAAAATCTCATTCATTCTATTTTTTTTTATTTCTACAATGGAAAATTATATTCCTTTCATATCAATATTTATTTTAAGCAAAATAGATATGCTAACAATTTATTGATTATTAAGGAATAGAAATATAATAATATTATGTATAATATATAATATTATAAACAGTATTTGAAATTGATTTTTTAAATAAATATGAATCAATTTGAAATAAATGTGTATTTGTTAAATATGATTCGAACATTAAAATTTAAAATTTATGTTCTTCTGAACAAATGATTAAACTAAATAATAAATTTGAAAAAATTATATCGATATTTAATAAATATTGTCTTTATTAAATTAGAATTAAATTTTAATTTATATTAATATCATTAATTCTGCAACATATAAAAAGAATATACATTTTCATTTTTATATAAAATAGTTACAATGAAATTTAGCTATTTTTATTGTTAAATTAAATTTTAAATATAATAAATAATAAATTAAATCATATATTTATTAAATAATAAATTAAATTTTTTGAAATAAAAATAATGATAGTTTGAAAAGTATATACAAAATTTCATTATTGAAGAAAAAGAATTATAATTTTTTCAAAAAGTAATAAAAAATTATCTAATGAAAAATAAAATTATATGAATTAATAAAATTTCGTTCAAAATTTTTATTAAATTTTATAATAATTTCGCAATAAAAATTCTAAATATAATTATTTAGAATAATTTAGTCATAAATTTTGGTCAAAAAACTCATCAATCTTTTATTATAGCATTCTTTAAATAGCATTCTTATTTTATAACTTTAACTCTTCTTAATCTTTCGAAAATCGCTATAGAACTGTTATTTTGTGCGACGAAAAGTTAAAATAAAAGCTAAAAGTACCTGGCAAATATTTTATTCCTTATATCCATTATGACAGCAATTGACAGGTCAAAATAAAGTACAAAAGTAAAAGTATATTTTATGATATGTTCATAATTACAGGTAATATTATTCCCGTTGCAAATATATTATGTTACTTTCTTATTATTGAAATATATCAGTGAAAAATTTCCTATTAAATATAATAGAAACAGGTCCAACTTATATCAATAAATACAGAATTATAAAGGGATATAGTTAAAATCTATAGTTAAAATCTGATGTAGGTCTATGTCACAAATAGATTTACGATCTTCCGAATAATGAAAAGAAAAGAAGGGTTTACGTGAAAGAAAGTATTAATTGTCCATACTGTGCATTTTCATGTTAATCTGTTGTTTGCTTGAACAAATTTTTGGATTTTTGATTAATCCACTTAAAATTTAATTTTAATTTATCGAGGTCATCGTAAGATTCCCAATTTATTTCCGGATATTTAGCTTTCTAAGATGAATTAGAAATGAACTTATATATTTTTCAATATTTTTGATTTGTAAAATTAATTAAAAATATAAATTTTTCGTTTTAAAATATGCAATGTGAATTTTGATTGCTGAGAAAGGAACAAGATTCGTACATTGCATACACCCATCATCTTCGATGCGACTTTTTTAACCAACAATTTTATATATTTTGTGATTAGCAATTTTTTGAATTTCTTTCTAGAGAATGTTGATAATTTGAAAATTTGTATTTAAAAATTTGCAAATTTATAAGATAATATCTAAAGAAATATTAAGACCATTTTTTTTTTTTTTCGTAATTTAATTCTTTAAAATGAAAACATTTTTTGAAAATTAATATATAGTTTTTCATCATCATTATATGGAAGAAATAAGTGACATTTCTATATAATATATAAGAAATAAAAATTATAACTTTTATTATCATGACGATAATTGAGTAACGTAGAAACTCTACATTACATTACAATTTTCACTTTTGTTACTTATCATGATTTTATTAGATATAATTCTATCAATATGTATATGTATGTTTATAGACATACAGAAATAAATACATATATTATTCATATAATATAATGAATAGGTTTGGTTAGAATATTTTATATTATAATATATCATATTAAAAATCCATGAGGAAATAGTTTTTTGATTGATTCATCCGTTATTTATGTATTTTGGACCAACGCGACAACGACTTATAATATGAAGATGATAATAATAAAGTCTATGGAAGCATTTAATATATTAATTACATCTGTATAAACAAAATTCAATATATAGTATTGAACATTTTTATTTATATCTTGAAAATTAATACAGAACATTTTTTTTTTATATATATGATTACTGTTTAACTTTAGCATAAGATTAAAATTGGGATTAAGATATGAAAATAAAGTATGAAATAATTATACAAAAACAAAGACACATTTATTGCCTAAATTGTTAACAATTTTGCTAGAAGTACCGAATTTTCTCGATGTACTTTGATCTTTGTTTATGAATAGAGAAGGAGAGAAAAGAACCATAATCTCGGGACTCATTAATCTTATCTGAATGAAATTTTTCCCATTGTTATAAACGATTTATTCAAT